GCAGAATTTATAGTTAGGTAAGTTAGGTTTTCTACATATATAAAGATATATTTGAGACAGATAGATAGTCTTCAAACCTTTCAAAGACCTTCAGAAAATGGCATTAAAAATGGTTTAGGGTTTTTCTTGACAATGAGAAATGTCTGCTCCTGGCAGCACCAATTATGTCTGAGAGGAAGATGGGCATCGCAGAAACTTTTTATGGAGGTTGCTTTTAACATGGCAAGATTGGCCATTTGGGCAAGAAACTGCTCTTGCCTGCACTGCTTGACTGTTGCTCAATAATCTGGACATGCAGGACCCACAGGAAAGTGACTGCTGAACTCAAATAGTCCTTCAGGGTTCCTGCTTCATGGAAGAGTCTACGAGACTTTCTGCAGGACACAGAAAAATGACTGACAGACTGCCAATGCAGATGGGCAGTTTGAAATTTCCTGCTTTGCTGAGAAGTTTTCTGGATACACTGTGGCCTATGGGCTGAAGACGGATGCCCCAATGTTACAGAGGAACTTCGGGTGACTGTCCAGGCAGCAAGATGTCTCTGTCAATCCTAGTGTTTATATATTATCCTTCTGTGGTCTTTGATAGAGTTGAAGGCAGATAGTTATAATTATAGTTTTCCTTAGTTATGATAAAAGATAAACTACATATAGAACTTTGGACTCACAAGGATGGGATGGATGATATTCTCTTTAAATCTTGCTAAAATATTGTAACTGTGTTCTTACTTAATAACTGTTCTCTTATATATAATTTGACTATGTTAACTTAAAGTTAAGACCTTTATTTTTGTATAGACAGAAAAGAGGAGATGATGGGAAGTCCTGTGTATATGTCAATAAAGCACTGTTGGCCAATAGGGAACCAAGATAGTTGGGACTAGGAGTCCAGGAGGGCTCTGGGAAGGAGAAACACAGGATGTTGAGATGTAACCGCCATGGGGTAGGAAGCCCAGAAACCTCTCCGGTAAGAGAAATACGTAGATTAACAATTATGGGGTAATTACTTAAGTCAGAGCTAGACAGTAAGAAACAAGCAAGGCCAACAGCTTCATAATTAATACAGCTTCTTGTGTGTTATTTGGGGACTACATTGTGGCAGAGCCCAGGCGACTGGCGGGTGATAAACCAAAGCGGCTAGCAAGGAAAAGCCTCCCTTTACACCTTCCCATCTCTGCTCCTGGTTGGTCAACACCTAATCCTCCTTTTAGCCCCCCTTCGACCAATAAACTCCACGTGGGTTTGTTGATTGGAGATTTGTGTTTCATTACTGGTTGTTTCAGCAAAAGAACAACACTGACCACAAAAGGACCCATTTCCCAATTTTTTTTTCACTTATTCTACTTTTTACATTCACCAAACCATATAGGTTTTAAGGTCAATCAATTTATCCTCATGTTCAGTTTCCTTGCCCTTCTTTATCTCTTTCTCAAACTAACTGACATCATCTTGCCATCACTGTTCTTTGGTTCCCACTGTCCAAAATTATATGCTTATTGTCATCTTTGAAACAGTTGTTGTACCTCTGCAAGGTCAGAATTCACAGAATTCTACAGCAGTTCCTCTATATTCCATTTTCTAAATTTGCCATACATCTGTTGATAGATTTTAGTTACATTCTACAGACTAAGCATATATGATGGTATTGCGTGGATTTGTAATGTAAACTTAATCTGGAACCAAGCACAGGAATTCTAGTATAAACTTAATCTGCATCAAAACATCTATGTTTTTTGAGTACTGGTCTGTCTAGCCTTTCCATTATAAAGTACAGTTATCAGGAAAAACATTTAAAGTGATTTTTAAGAATGGAGGAAAGGGAATGTTACTGGAAGTATCCCTGACATTGCCCCATTACATCATACCAAACCTGTCACATTAATTAGTTTGTTGTACTGGAAAATAAAGTCCCATGATCACCATGCTTGGTTCCTGGGGATTTGCCTCAAGACTGATTTGTATTGTCATCAGTGGCCTGGATGCAGCCAGCTAAGAAACCCAATGACAGAAAGCATAGCCAACTGATAATGTGTTTGTGGAGGTTCTCACTGTGTGTGTACAACTCCTTGCAAGGCTACTTTCTCCAGGAAGCTATGTGACAGTCTCTATTAGTCAATGTCCTATTGCTGAGAAGAGATATGATAACCATAACAATTGGAGCTCCCTTACAGTTTCAGAGGTTCAGCCCATTATCCTCATAGCAGGGAGCATGGTAGCCTGTAGGCAGATATGGTAGCTGAGCTTCCTAAATCTGGATCTGAAGGCATCAGGAAGAGAGATCCACTAGGCCTGGTTTAGTTTTCTGAAATCCCAAGGCCCAATCCCAGTGACAATTTTCTCCAACAAGGCCACACTTACCTAACAATAGCACACCCATTCTAACAAGGCTACTCCTAATCTCCTAATCCTTTCAAATAGTGCTACTCCCTAATCATTCAAATCTATGTGTCCATGGGGGAGCTATTCTTATTCAAACCAGCACATTCCATTCCTGGCCCCCTTAGGCTTATAGTCACAATGAAGAATTGTACTCACTTCAACTTGAAAACTCCCCCAAATCTCTAACAGTCTTAACTCTGTGTAAAAATTCAAAGTCTCTTCTGAGACACATGGTAAACTCTTAACTGTAACCCCTGTAAAATCAAAATGCAAAAGCAGGTCACAAACTTCCTGTAATAATCCAAGTAAACCTGCCCCCATCACTTGGGAACCTGATACAGCCAGTCACCACCCTGTGCCTGGTAGGCAGTACTCTGGCCCTTTAAGAGTCAAACTCTACCTACTTCCACTCTCTTCTGCTCTTTTCTCTGAGGATGCAGTTCTATCTGTCTCCCTCTATCTCTCTGTCTCTTTTTCTGTCTATCTCTTTCTTTCTTCCTTTACCTTACTCCCTTACCTTCTACCAGTAAACTTTCTACAGAAGTTTTGTCTGTAGGTCTCTCTGTGTCTCCCACCCACCATGTGTTCCTCACCCATCACAGGACCTGCAGTCCCACTTAGCACTATATTTCTAACACTTCCAATGTACGATGGCACAAAATACACATTACCCTTCAAAATGGGAGGAAAGGGAAGATAGTGAGGAAATACTGGACCAAAGCATGACTGAAAACTCTCTTAGCAAACTCCAAAGTCTACATCCCCATGTCTGATGTAAACACACTCTTTAGGTACCCAACTACTTTCTCCTTTGCTGACTGTAATATACTTCCCTCTCTTGGACTTGTTCCACACCCAGCTAGCAGCTTTCCTTGGCAGGTATACTACGGCTCTGGCATCTACAACATCTTGAGGTCTCCAAGTCAATTCAAGTTTCACCTTAACTTCACGGAATGGCCTCTCTGGGCCTCCATGCAGGGATACTTGCCTGTCCTCCCTCCTTAGCCATGGAGACAGATTCTATAACCCCCATCTAGAATGATGTGGCTGAAGCTGCCAAATTCTTCTGCTTGTGGGGCTGTAACTTTGCCCCCTTGTTCAAATACATTTTCACCAGCTTTCTATTATTTGATGGTTTCCTTTACTGCTTAATATTTTCCTTAATTCCTTTTCACAAGTTGGAAGCTTAGCTTGGTGGGGTCCTGCCCTGCGGTTACCACTCCCTTCATTCCATTTAGCACCAGGCTTTTCTTTAAACTTTTTATCTCCTTGAGCACTGGACTTAGCTCCATTACTCTTCCTGGTATCTCTTTTCTCTTCAATCTGTACATTTTGTATTTTTTCTTGCTTAGCTTGCTACTTTTCATTATAGACCTACATAAAAGTGAACACTAATAACCACAAAAGACAGTCAATACTAGGATGTCTTGAAATCTCTGTCAATGTTATTTATCCAAAACTCTTCAGTTTAACCTCAGGCAGAATCTTTTTAGACAAAGTCAGAAAGCAGTCATACTCTTCACCATCACGGGAACAGTCTCTAGGCCACTTATTAATATTCTTCAGTGTTTCTACTACTATGGCCCATTATGCCCCACATAAAGCATTCGACTGTTTTCCTAATCCAAAGTCCCCAAGTCCAAATTATACCCACAGGCAACCTGGTTAGGACTGTCACAGCAATACTCCACAGTCGTAATACTAAGTTCTGTCTTAGTGTTTCTATTGCTGTGAATAGACCCCATGACCTCTACAACTCTTACAAAAGAAAGCATTTAATTGGGCCTTGATTACAGTTTCAGAGGTTTAGTTCATTATCCTCATAGCAGGGAGCTGGGTGACCTGCAGGCAGACGTGGTAGCTGAGAGTCCTACATTTGGATCTGAAGGCTCTAGGAAGAGAGAGAACCACTAGGCCTGGCTTGGGCTTCTGAAACCCCAAGGCCCAATCCCAGCAACACATTTCCTCCAATAATGTCATACCAATCACAACAAGGCCATACCTACTTTCAGAGAATACCATAATCATTCTTATGTAAGAGCCTATGGAGGCCATTCTTATTCAAATCACCACATAAACTATTTTAGTATTGTGGAATCATTACCATATCTATAGCTCGTAGCTGACAAAACCTTCATTATGAAGTACATAACTGCACATAATAAATATATTATTGTTGATCTATCTTTAGTATGCAATAGAACACCAGACTTTTTCATTGTGTTTCATATATCTATATAATGATTTTTCATCATTTTCATCACCCATTCCCTTCTCTTATTCTCCTTCTTCCACCAGAACCTCTCTTAATTGCCCCAGCTACCTCATGAATTATTTTGTTTGCAGCCAGTTTCTTATCCAAATGTGGGTGGGAGGCAAATTCACAGGGCAAAGATAATATACCAATGCATATACCACTTAAGAAAATGATAATGCCTTCTTCAACAACAGTTAATTGCCAATAGTTAATGGACAGGAAGGGGTTGGGGCATCCATGAGGAAATATTAATGCATCTGGTCTTGTATAGATCTTGTGAAGAACAAGTCAATTAATGTGTGCAATGGTTTTCTGGTGTCTAGAAAACAGAGTTTTGCTCTATATTGTCCCATCCTCTCACTTACCTTCTTCCATTCTCCTTTCTCTATGTTCCTTGATATTTAGAGGGGAAGTAATAAGATGAACATTCCACCGTCAATTATAATCATAAAGTAGAAATACACTAGAAGAAAACACAAAGGAAACACTTAAAGATATTAATATAAGTAATAAAACCAAAAAAGCCAAATGTCATTAATTTGAACTAATGTATATCTGGACAGTAATGGGAATAATCAGTACAATGAAGAGACCAATACAGAGTGCAATAAAAATATCTATCGGGAAATAATTCATCTAAAAACATATATAGAGGATCACTAAATGAGTCATTATTAATTATTATTATTATCCCCAAATGAGTCATCTACAAACTAGTTGTTGTGAATATTCAGCAAGAAACCTGGGTATATAGTTGTCTGTATTGCATGCAGTCTTTGGTTCCTCTTGAAATATATACCTAGGGGTGATGTAGCTGCAATATACAGTAGTTCTCTTTTAGTCTGTTGAGTGATCTATATATTGACATCCATAGTGGCTGCACTAGCATTCCCATCAGTAATATAGAGGGATTCTTATCTAGTACCAACCCAACATTTTTTGCAACATTTGATGTTTTTTGACTTCCTTTCTGGCAGCCATGCTCAGTGATGTGTGATGGAATCTCAAGCCAGGTAATCAACCTAGATGTCCAACAACAGATGAATGGGTTAAAAATATACTACATATATACAATGGTCTCACATTCACCCTATAGAAACAAAATCTCAGGCTTTTTTTCCTGGGGAGGCAAGAGTCAGTTCAGATGAGGCTTTGGTTCTCACATCAGATGCTCTTCTTACTGGAAAGATCTGTAAATGTTCTTTCAACATCTGAGGTTTCTGTTTTGAAAGACATTTTCAAAGTGGACAAAAAAACCCTCACAAATATTGTCATCTGTGTTCTGTTTATAGGAAACTGGTTTTAAATACAAGTTGTAAGTATGCTAAAAAGAAAACAATGAGGAATAGTGGGAACAGCAAGGAGGAGATGGGGAAAAGGGGAAATAGAAAAAGGCAGGGAGGACGGGGGATGAATAGGAACACAATATACTGACATATACATGTAAAAATACCATAATGAAACAAATTGTTTTATGTGTTAACTTAAAAATTAATAAAAACACAATACTAAATAAGAGAACACAATAAATTTATAAATTTACATAAGTACTATAGGATGTATTTTAAGTAAAAAATTCTAGACAAAGAGAATGAATATATAATTTTACAAAGTCTACTTCCCCAGGAATATGAATCTGTTGTTAGCATGTGTTCAATATCTGATCAATAAACAACAGAGCTTCAAAATATATGATATAAAATATTCAAGAGTAATAGAAAATTCCACAATTATTAATGGGAACCTTAACACATCTCTTCCAATATATGATAGAACAGATATTTGGAAATTATGCTGAAGAATTCCACAAAATTTAACAACTAGACAAAGAAAAATGTGTAATATGAATAGTAGCTTAATTATTAAGTAATTTAAAATTGTAGTTTAAAATTTTCAGATATAAAATACCATAGTACTGATTATTTCACTATTCAGGTATATGAAATACTTGAAGAAACCATGCCAGTTTTAAACAGTGTCTTCCAGAAAGAGGAGAAATCTTTTCAAGCCCTTTTTAAATCTAACATTCCTTTGATTGCATATGAGAAAAACTACACTAGTAGAAACTATAGAATAATCTATGTCATGAAAATAGGCACAAAGAGTAAATTAATCAAAGAGAAAAAATAAAAAGGTGATTATATCTAAATCAGATTTATCATTTAACTGTTAATATTGCGTCCATATTCAAAATGAAGATTTGATAAACTTGTGGCTACATAAAATGTTGTCATTGAGGAAATCTTGATAAATGGTACTGCTATTTTAAAATATTTTAATTGTGTTATTCTAAAATTATCTAAACATGATTTAAAGAATTAAAGATGTCACGCACATGCATTTTCAATTTACTTAAAGTCTATTGGCATTGTAAACTTTTGGATCATGATCTAGATTTTTGGGTCAATAAAATGTTGAACCACACAGTATTTTCAATCTATTTTTGACCATGCCTATAGGATGTGAAAAAATAAAATATTTATGGTGTGCTTGGATTTTTAGACAATACGAGTTGGAACTGGAGATATGTAATTTTAAACAGTTTATTAAACATGGAAAGGGCCCTTGAGAGAAATGAAAAAGTAATGGATGATGAATATATTCAAAATAAGTGATATATTTAAACAAAAACTGTATTATGAAGCCCATTGCTTTGTTCAATATGCATACACTGATAAAAAATTTCTTAAGAAGTTAAAACACAGCTTTAACAGATCTACACGGTAAATGAAATTCTCAGGCCTTGCCAAGCACTGACAGGAATTGAGATGATTGCCGAAGCTGTGATTTTTATGTTTTTTAGAGATCTGGTCCCTTATGAAACAAGCATGTCTAAGATAAACTATTTTTTCAAGTCAATCAGTAGGGTGACTACTCAAAGTCAGATCTCTTAGCAAATAGATATGTACATTCCATCTATGTCTTTTAGTTGTCACAGAGACGGGCACAAGAAAACAACAGCGAAGATGGTCTCCTAAGGATGTCTGCTGACAGAATACCTAGATAAGTCCAGAAAGACCTGTTGAAGATTCCAGTTAAATGGGTATTACAGAAAGTGGGCCATTTAAAACCCAAGGATTCTGATTTTCTAACCCCAATGGATTTAGTTTGCTAATTTCCCTGGTTCAGTCTTGTCTTCCACCTCATCATCATCAGATCTGGTGTTGCCCACATTTTAACTCATGCCCACCCTTGATAACAAGTGATTTCTCCCTTTACATGACCAAGTTATTGACAATTGTCTTTCTTCCGTTCATCACCAGTACTAATATTAATATCCATTTCCTGCCTTCACACTAGTACATCATTAAAACTTAGGATGCACAGGAAATTGCATTCTTTGCATAATACTATTTCTAGAAGGATTCCAGTAGGAAATTCAGATTCCCTTAGCAGTGTGGCACTTGAGTTCTTTTCTAGTCATGTCTTTAACCCTCATCAGTACACACAGAAGGCCATAGACATACTCAAATAGAGAATCACTTATACAGACAGAAAAATATTGATCTCTGTGTTTGTGTTATTACTCAAATAAAAATCAGAAATTAAGATCCGCATGGTGATTTCTTTAAGCTAATTTCACAAAGGCATGCATTTTAAAGTGTCATTTACGTTTTTAATCTAACAGGAGATTGAAGTAGTCTGGCCTAGATTTCCTTTCTGCTACTTCACTGGTGAACAAACTACTTTTTGTGATTTCGAGACTTGATTTTGAACAAACAAGCAACTAAGAGACAACAATGAGTTGGGTACATAATGGGTGAGAATGCTAAGGCAAAATCAAATGTAACATTCAATTCTAATTGTGACTGACTGGGTTCAAATTCCTATTTCCACAGACTCCTTGGATACATCAATTCCTCTTATCTGCCCTACTTCCAGTTCTGCTATGGAAGAGTCAACATCTAAGCTGACAGAAGCCATCCCAGAGCCCACCATTGTACTGGATGATGAGCTCAAAAATAGCAATCTGTCTAACCCATTAGAGAAGGCAAAGTCAGGCAAGAGGGATGAGTGGTCAAATGACACTATTGATAATGAACTCTTGGGCCGTGACTCATCCAAATGTTGCTGTGTTTATGAGAAGCCACATGCATTTGGTGAGAGCTCCTCAGAGAGTGAAAAAGAAGATGATGGAAATTGTAATGTACTCTGTGCCTGGGGTCATCACAAGGGAAGACGCCGTGTTCTTTCAAGTACTGTTGCTAGTACTTCATCTTCAAAGGCTCAAGCCTCATTTGAATCCTTCCTTCCCCCATTAATGACTAAGCCTCATTTTGCCTTTCTTACCCCTGAACCAGAATGAACCACAATGTGTCCATGTAACTGCTCAGGGATTAAATGACTGTTCGTGTGTGTGTGTGTGTGTGTGTGTGTGTGTGTGTGTGCAGTAAGTTTAGTCTTTGCTGAATGAAAAAAGGTAACAATGAAGGAAGGCAGAGGGTTAAATATGGATCATACAAAGTATTTGTAAGCCATGGAATCACATAGTTCCTTGCTAACCACACAAGAATCTAGGTTCTCCCAGACACATCTGTTTACTTTTTTATTCTAAGATACTTGGACTATCTGCACCTATCTCCTCCTGGTTATCCCATGGTCATCACATCAAACTCCACAATTTCTCCAAGTCACCACCTTGTCCATACTACATTAGTTTCTTTTCTCATAGCTGTGTCAAAATAACTGACAAGAATCAATTTAAGGAGATTATTTTGACTGACAGTTCTAGAGAATACATACATTCCACCATCGCAGGGAAGACATGGCAAGAGAAATGGAAGAAAGAGCTGGGTAGTGGTGCACACATGGTTAATCCCAGCACTCAGGGGACAGGGGCAGGAGAATCTCTGTGAGTTTGTGGCAAGCCTGGTTTACAAAGTGAGTTCCAGGACAGCCAGCACTACAGAGAGAAACCCTGTCTCAAAAAACAAAAACAAAAAAAGAAATGGAAGAAGCAGACAGCTAGTTGGTCACATTGCATCTGGATTTTTGGAAGCAGCAGGAAATGATCCCTAACAGTTCACTTTCTCTTTTTTATTTAGTCAGGCAGTTAGAATAGGTTTCTCACCTCCATTAACCAAATCAATTTAATCCCCACAGACATGCCCAGAGATTAATCCTCTCAATGCCTCTAGATACTTTCAAATTAGAAATCAATACAGGTTATTACAAGTTCACCCCCTGTCAACTTGACAGACAAACCTATTGCTTAAAAATACTATGTGTTTTGAGTGTTTTTCCTTCATGTGTGCCTGTGCACAATGAGCATGCAGTGTCTTTGTAGGACAGAAATGGACATCAGATTTCCTAGAACTGGAGTTACAGATGGTTGTGAACTGCCATTTGGATGGTAGGAATTGAACCCAGGTCCTTTAGAAGAGAAGTTAGTGCTTTCAACCAGTGAGCCATCTTTCCAGCACTCTAAACATTACTTTTTAGGAATATCCCTTTACCCTTTGT